TGACTTCTAGTGCAGGGAAGTAGTATCAGCAGGTCATGGACCTCAAAGTCAATGGCATCTTAAGTTCTGAAGGACAGCTAGAAGAACCAAAGACATTGTGTAATTTATTGTCTGTGCTCCATATTTCATTTTGCATGGATGTTAAATGATCTCAGGTACAATACAAATGTGAAAAAACTTGCTTAATCTGAAAGAACTGGTGGGGAACTAGTTCAGTTTTGAGATGCTGCAGAAGGCACTCACAAGGCACTGCAGAACATCAACACATACCATGAGTTTTAGTATTGCTTATAAATAGGCAATTGGGATTACTTTTGAAATCCTATTCATATACAGTTATTGTGCGCCTTTCTGAGGGAAGAAATATGAATTGGTCAACAGCAATTATCACTGCTTCCAATTATATGAGTAGTAATGTCCTACAATTATAGTGGTTCTAATGGCAGAAGGTTTCATGGAATGCATTACGGTAAGAAAAAACCTTCTGTGTTCACTTTCCCCCCAGCCACCCCTAAATACTTATCTGAGCCGATCTCAATCCAGAGCTGTCCAGAGAACAGCGGCTCTCTCCTTTCTCTCTCCTCACTGGACATGGAGGCTGCAGCGGGAGCAATTGGCTCCTGCTGCTGTCAATCACAGCCTGTGAGAAGGGAGTGGGGTTGGGGCCAAGCCACACAGCATATGTCTATGGACACACACAGCCTGGCTGGGTATTGAGCCTACACAAGTGCCCCCATAGCATGTGGCTTGGGGGCGAGCCAGGAATGCCATCAGGGGACTCCAGAAGAGGATTGGGGCTGCTCTGTGCAAAACCTTTCCACACAGCAGTTAAGTTTGACATGCTTGTTATTAAAAAAATTGTTTACTTTTACAATCACTTTAGGGTTGAGCTTGGACCATACCGTTTCCTATTAATTATGACATCCTTCAACTGCTTCAACTTCTTTATTCAACTGCTTCAACTTCCTTATTCAACTCCACTGCATTTTCCACAACTCCCAAAGTATTATTGAAAACACTAAAACCAAAATTCTCCACCCCAGTCTGGGGTTTATACAGATTACCACTGGATTCTGCAGTGTACCAGATACAGATGTACAAAGACTATTCTGATTTCTGGCATTACAAGAATGTCTGAGTTCCTTTTACCTTTCTCCACATGCTGTCCCACTCTCACCAGGAGTTCTGCTCCAATACTGTGATTTATTACATCTGTTGCCTTTTTCCTCCCAGCTCCGAGTGCATTTAGGATTTCAGCTATGGGTCTGGCTCGAATCAGCTCCACTGTGCCTAGAAACAGACAAAAATACACAAATGACACAAATATTCTAGGTGTGAAATTCATGTATTAAACAGGAATGTGGATTTTTCTTATATATGATTCATACCCTATGGTTTACCTTGCTATAGTTTACATAAAGACACATTTTTATAAATAAAGGCGAGTACCCAAGATTAGGGATGCACCAAAATTTCGGTGGCTGAAACGTTTTGGCCGAAAACACCCCTTTTGGCCATCGGCCGAAATGAAAAGAAGCGCCGATACAGGTGCCAAAAAAACCCCCGCCACCGCTTGGTAGTTCACCCATACCTGAGAAACCATCGATCCTGGCGCTGGGCATAGAGATGAGTGAAGGAAAGATGGCTTCCACATATCTATGCCCTTGGAGGACCAGAGCGATGTCATTTCTCATTCCGGCCATTTTTTTTTTTTTTTAAAGCACTAGATCAATGTTTTTTTTGATCCAATGCTTTACATTGTAGAGGAGAGATGTGGGGTCTTATTGACCCCATATCTCTCCATAAAGAGGACCTGTCACTAATTATTTTTATCACAAGGGATGCATGCATTTCTTGTGATAAGTGATTAACTTTTTTTTTAAAGGAACAGTGCAAAAAACCCCCAAAAAACATGATATACATTTTTAAAAAAAGATTAAAGTGCCTCTGTCCCCCAGGATCGCACATAGTGGTGACCGCAGACGTAGGCCATGCCCACATATGTAAATGGTGTTCAAACCACACATGTGAGGTATCGCCACGAATGTCAGAGCAAGAGCAATAATTCCTGCACTAGACCTCCTCTGTAACGTTACACTGCTAGCCTGTAGAAATTTTTAAAGCATCAACCATGGAGATTTTTAAGTACCGTAGTTTCAGGCCATTCCACGAGCGTGCACAATTTTAAAGCGTGACATGTTGAGTATCTATTTACTCGCTGTAACATCTTCTTTCATATTTTACAAAACAGTTGGGGTATATATAGTTTTTTTTAATCGAAGTGTATTTTTTTCAAAAAAATATATATTCATTTTTAAAAACTGTGCATTTTGAATTTTCAGTTTTGGCACCAGAATTTTCATTTCGATGCACCACTACCCAGGATTATCTTAAATTATATACTATACAAGCAACATGTGCATTTCTATAAAATATATAGGGTGGTGATTGGTATCAAATCAGCCATTCATAGTAATTGCAGACGCACATTAAATGACCAGACAGAATGGCTGCATTGTTTGTAGTTTAAATGTATTCTGCATGACTTCTCATTCTCTCATTCTGTGATGGTTTTACACAAAACGAGTAATGGTGAGGCCCCTGTGCTGTTCAATTGCTACATGCAATTTCACATGCTTCACTCACAGCCTTTCATATGTCTTAGTATTAAAGGATAAGTTAACCTTCTGAATAAAAAATAGAAGCACATTTGTGTTCAGATAAAAAAATGTGCATTTATTATTTTTTGTTTCTGGATCCTGTAAAGCATTGCTCCTGCGATCAGCAGATCTTTGGTGCCGTGCAGGTCTCCTGAAGACCTGTCAGCATATCTGCTTGACCGTATGGGATGTATGGGCAAGCACAAACTGACAAGAAGAATCAGTAAACTGCCACAGTGCTCCAAAGCGCTGTTAGTTCATTGAGAACTGCAAGCTGACAGTCGCAAAGGCTGTTGGGACTTGTAGTTCATTCATTCACAGAACACAGTGAATGAAGGACGTGCCAGGTGGGCAGAGCTCCTCACAGCCATGTTTCTTTAAAATTGTGACAGCTGGCAGGGAGGAGAAGATTCCCCCGCTAGCTGTCACAATGGGGAGCAAGAAAGAGTGGGGGCCGGTCCTTTTGTTACATGTTATGCCATGAATATGGGTGTAACGTGTTACAAAGGATTAACCTATCCTTTAGGTCAGTACACAAATACACAATGTAAAAGGTATCATTGCCACAGGGACATGCTTATGTTCTGCATGTTTTTAGGTATGTTTAAGTATTTTCTGAAGGTTAAGCTTTTCAAGTATCATCCAATATGTTACAAACTATCAAGTGATAAAGAAACTATACTGTATACACTATAATGTATAAATCCATTTCTGGTGCATCAAGCCTTACATATTTATTTACATACATGACACTGGCAGTTGCTGATCAGTGTATTCTGACAGCAGAGGGTGCTGCTTTCAGAATGCAATGTCCTGGCTAGGGGGATTTCTCCATCCATCTCGTTTGTGTACCAGCTGCCTGCTGGCTGAATGAAAAAGAAAAAAAAAAAAAATAAACATTTATAGCCTAGTGTCTGTGATGAAAAGTGGAAAAGGAAACATGGAAGAGAAGGGAGGGTCTACCTAGGACTGATATAACTAACACAAACCAAAGGGGGAAGCAAAGAATTACTGTATGTCAGATGCACACAACAACAAGTTGTATAGGCACCATCCTACCACTAGGTGTCAGTAGATGCACATTTTTGAACAATAAAATGCAATGCAAGGTGGGACTCATTCTGCATATCTGCAGTGCTCATTTGCGAACGCCTCAGTATTAAAGCGGTTGTAAAGGCTCAAGGTTTTTTACCTTCATGCATTCTATGCATGACTGTAAAACCTTCTGGGTGCAGCAGCCCCCCTAAGACTTACCTGAGCCCCATCGCGATCCAGCGATGTGTACGAAAGCCTCCAGGGACTCTCCTTCCTCATTGGATGAGACAGCAGTGGCAGCCGATGAGACAGCAGTGGCAGCCATTGTCAATCGCAGCCAGTGAGCCAATGAGGAGAGAGGGGGGCAGGGCCTTGCTGCATTCTGTGTGTGAATGGACATGCAGAGCAGCAGCTCGGGAGCAAGCCTGCTTAGGTGCCCCCATAGCAAGGCGCTTGTTCTGGGGGGCACTTAGCAGGAGGGAGGGGCCAGGAGCACCGGCAGTGGACACTAGAAGAGGAGAATCGGGGCTGCAGTATGCAAAACTACTGCACAAAGCAGATAAGTCTGACATGTTTAGTTTTTTAAGAAACAAAATTGCCTTTAATATCACTTTAAGTGTAAACAGCACAAGGAATTTCGGTCATTTAACCCATGTACTAAACCAGATTTAAAGTTAGGAGTAAAAAAGAGCTATAATGACAACTGACACAAATTGTATGGGAAAAAATGTGTTAACTTCCAGTGATAAAAAAATATTTGTTAGTGTACAGTCTCCGACCACTTTACTAGGTACACCTGTTCAATTGCTTGGTAACACAAATTGCTAATTATCCAATTACATGGCAGCAACTCGACATGGTGAAGACAACTTGCTAAAGTTCGAACTGAGCATCAGAATGGGGAAGAAAGGGGATTTAAGTGACTTCGAACGTGGCATGGTTGTTGGTGCCAGACAGGCTGGTCTGAGTATTTCAAAAACTACTGATCTACTGGGATTTTCATGCACAACCATCTCTAGGGTTTACAGAGAATGGTCAGAAAAAGAGAAAATATCCAGTGAGCGGCAGTTGTGTGGACTCATATGCTTTGTTGATGTCAGAGAATGGGCAGACTGGTTGCTGTGACATTCAGATGGTAGGGTCAGAATTTGGCGTAAACAACATGAAAGCATAGATCCATCCTGTCTTGTGTCTTGTGGCTGGTGGTGTAATAGGGGGGGGGGGGGGGGGGGGGGGGGTATTTTCTTGCACTTGCAAGGTGTACCTAATAAAGTGGTCGGTGAGTGTATATAAATCTGCAAACATTTATACATCATACCTATGTAATGACAGACTGCCATTGTGAGTGAGATAAACATGCTGACCTGTTGTCTGCACTATCAGCTCTTCTATGTGAGATGCGTTTCCCAAATTGCTGTTAGAATTAAGACTCCTTGCTATGTCAGGCTGCACCCCTTGAGCCTCCATCATCTTTCGGAAACATTGCAAAGCAGATCCATCATCCAACACTTTGGCAATTTTCTCAGCACCTTGAGAGTCTGACACAGCCTGACCACAAAGCCAGAGGAGGTATCCACCTGTATGCAAAAGGAAAAAAAATCTGCATTGAATAGATAAGATACAGCTCTATGATGTTTATATTTCACAGATCCTTACAGTGTTTGTTGACAGGCAAGCAATGCAAACCCCCAAATGACACAATGGTATAAAAAAAGTAGATGTCCATGTGTTGTCTGGAGTCCAATGGTTGGACAGGTATATATGTGTCAGGTCCTGCAGCAGGCAGTATATTCTGTACATGTCCCACAATACTATGTTTACTGACCTGTGCGTGTGACAAGTTCCCTGAGATCTTCTGGCCCTTTTCCTTCCAGACATTTCAGTGCTTCAATAACTTCCAAACTGTTTCCAACGCAATGACCGATTGGATTATCCATATTAGTTATTAAAGCAATTGTAGGGATTCCAAGAGAGACTCCTACACTCACCTGAGAAAGACACATATGCATGTAAATGTATACATCTCAGACATCAATAACTCCAAAATAACTACTTGTGGATGTGGTTAATTCCTGCCTCCATTTTTCGGTTTGAGGCACTGTTTCCGGTCTGTGGAATGCTCTTCAGTGAGGGGCAATGTCCCTCTTGGCTCTGTGGAACACTCTTCAATGAGGGGCAGTCTCCCTCTTGGCTCTATTTATATCATTTGATGCGTTGCCTCTGACGACATCTATTGATGACGAAACACGTAGAGTGGAGCTACGCTGGAGGGACAGTGGCCATCTTGTTGTGGGCAATTCTTTTCATGTGGTGCTTTGGGGGCCTGATGGGGAGTTTGCCATTTGAAGCTCTTTTTGGAGGAATATCTTGGATGACCCTGTGAGCATTTCCTATGCAAGAACCAGTTGCAGAACCTGCTGGATTTGTGATACTGCTTATGTTGACCGACTTGTGCAGTCAACACTTTTAGTAAGAGGCCAACTTATTTGGATGTATGGTAGTGGTCCCCTTCTTGATTGGAACCCCTTTCCTTTGCATGGCTCTTGATCTCTTTATATGGGAAACCTACATGGACTGTGCTGTCATCTACATTATTGTGTATGGGACTTTATGTTCCAACTAGTGCTGCATTTTTCCATGGTACATACGGGGAGGTTTAATGGATAAAACACAATACAGCGATCAGACTTCTGTAATGGGCTTTGCACTACAGTGCTTAATCATAAGGATACGTATACATAACACAGTTGAGAGTTTTGTAAACACTTACAAGACTATGTGCCAGCCTTCTTGCATCTTCAATGGTTGGACTTTGAGCTGCTTCACCAAACTTGACATCAAGGATCAGTGCAGAAAGGCTTTCAGCCACCTTTTTGCTCATCACTGAGGCTGTGGAGAGATCAGCACAATGGACATTGTTATGGCTATACTGCCAGCATAGTTGTCTTAAAGCTGAACTTCACCGAAAAGGGGAAGTTCTGCTTTTCCATCTCTTTTCACCCTCCTCTACCACTATTTTTTTGGGGGGGGGGGGGTACCTGGTTTTGACAGGTACCTGCTCCCAATTCCGCCTGGCTCACCTAGACAATGCAAGCAGAAGTTAAGCCCCTTTCCTTTGCCTGCAGCCTTCTGGGACACGTCACAGGTCCCAGAGAAGACTGCAGGACCATTCACAAAGTGCAGCATGGCTCACACATGCGTAGTGGGAAGCTGGCTGTGAAGCCACAAGGTGTCAACGCTAGTTTCCCTTCGTAAACATGCCAGCTCTGAGTACCCAATGACTGGCAAAGAAACAGCCCAGGTGAGGCTGGACCAGATGCCTGGGCAGGTAGGTGTCCTTTAATTAAAACTCAGCAGCTACAGTATTTGGCCAATCAGTGATCACATGAATAGTAGTAAGCAAGATGTCACTTGCTGACATCATTGCTTACTACTAGTGAAATCTGTGAATGATCACAGAGGTCACATGGTACAAGGCTATTTACAACAGCCTTGTACCATGTGACAAGCTGTGACCAATCCCAGCTCTCTCAGTATTTCTCAATGGCTGGAAGAATGCAGCCAGAGAGATGAAATGATTGCTTTTACTGCCTTTATGGGGTGTAAAAGCAATCAGTGTAAAAAAAAAATCATCACCCCCCACAAGTAGTACAGTGTCACTATGGTGACACTGTACTGCTAGGGTGACAGTATGTTAAAAAAAACAAATATAATAAAATAAAAATGTAAAAACTTTTTTTTTAAATAAGTTTTAGGTTACAAACTAATTTGGGTTTTTTTTTTTACTAAAAACATAGCCGAATACATTTTGGACAAGATTTCTGAAGAAAGATTATTTGAAAAATTTTATAAGAAAAACACTTTCTTCAAAATGTTTGGTTTTTTTCATTTATATAGCAAAAAAATAAAAATCCCAGTGGTGAATACCACCAAAATAAAATTTTATCTGTCTCCAAAAAATGCAAAAAAATTCATATGGGTACAGTGTTGCATGAATGTGCAATTGTCAAAGTGTGATAGCACTGAAAGCTGAAAATTGGCCTGGACAGGAAGGGGGTGAAAGTGTCCGGACTTGAAGTGGCTAAGTATGTATATATCATCAATTAATTCACAAATCTAAAACCTACAGGCTTTCTTCCTCATTTTAGTACAGTGGCTTTGCAACAGGACACGTACTTGGCTGAATGATCAGAGTAGCTTAACTGTTTACTAAAAAGGTGCAAAGTTAGAATAAATAATGCAAAATAGGGGAAGAAAGGCAAAGAGCATGCATATACCCCAGAACATTGCAAAACATGGATTCTTAACAGCAATGTCGCTATGACTCAATCAAGGTAACATGTTGCTGCATAGAATAGTCTCTGTAGGACTTCATAGCAACAGAGAGTCAAGCTGAGAATCATAGCTTCAGTAAAATATCACATTAAACAGTGTCTAGGGTAGCTCTGGTAACACAGATGAACAGCTGGAGGGATCCAAGGCCCAGGGATAAAGTGCCACCCCATGAAATACTCTAGAGAAGCTAAATGCTAGTAGGCTCTGGTCTGGCTGCCCACATGCTAGTTGTGATAGTGAAGGGCCACCCACCTGGCTGCAGCTCACTTTCCCAGCTACCTCTGCCACATCAGGAGTGACCCCTCTGAGCTGCATAAGAGAGAGCTATTTTTCAACATCCCTTTAGAAAAATATTCCACAATAAACTTAAAAAGGAGCTTAAGGCAGTGGTATATATCTCTAGTCAGTAAGGTGGAGAGAAGATAGGGTAACCGTGTTTCTTTAGTGGATTGTGACCCTATGTTATTTATGTACAGACCAACTCCCCACAGTATAATATCAACCAGCGAAAAAAATACAATACATTGGTTCAGTTGAAGGGCTCACTTGAGTTAATGAAAGCCACAGCCTACTGCCGATTATTATCTTTCAGCACACCCACTTGGATACATGGTCTCAGTGTCCATAATGTGCATTGTCCTGGATATTATTCGTATGTTTTCTGTCTCCCCTGACATGAAAAAATGTTAGCCAATAATTCATACCTTCAGCCATGTAACAGGACGATTAAAATGTGTCCCTGACTTTTTTGGAGAACTGGGATGGGGGTTCACAAACTTTAACACCTCACTGTGTGTTCTTGGACAATCAACAGCTGCCTCATTGTATTCCATTGTGGTTGGATTAAGGTGATTCAGTTACCCACATGGCTATGCATGCTGGGCTATGATCCTGACACTTCTTAAAAAATCTCTTGTGCATAATGAATGTGTGTCAGCAGGATGCAGCACACAACCAGTCTGAATACAAGACCCAAGTACAAAATAAAGCATAAATTGGTGCAGAGTCCTTTCAAAGAGCTAAATCAATAATAACTGCATAAATAAATAACATACTTATTCAGTGAACAAAATTCCATAAATGAAGTGAAAATTAGTGCCTAACCCTCAGAGTGTATATTAATAGCCAAAAAATGAAAGTTGAGCATGTCCACAATAAATATTGCAACCTTAAAAGTGTGCAATCCAGTGCTTCCTTTCATGTCTCACTTCCGTAACATCTTCAAGATAACCTCTGAAACCACTAAGCAACTTATTCACTCCCTTGTTATATCTCGCTTTGATTATTGTAACTCCCTCCTCATTGGCTTACCTTTTCGCAGGCTATCCCCTCTTCAGTCTAATATGAATCCTGCTGCCAGACTCATCCACCTTACCAACCATTCCATATCTGCCACCCCTCTCTGCCAATCCCTCCACTGGCTTCCATTTGTCCAATGAATAAAATTCAAAACATTAACATATAAAGCCGTTTATAACTCTGCCCCAAATTACATCACCAATCTTGTCTCCAAATATCATCCAAACGGTCCTCTCCACTCCTCCTCCCATGACCTCTTGCTCTCTAGCTCGCTTGTCTCCTCCTCCTATACTCATCTCCAGGACTTCTGCAGAGCCTCCCCCATCCTCTGGAACTCTCTACCCCAATCTATCAGACTATCGCCTACTGAAACCTCTCTGAAAACCTATTTCTGCAGGGATGCCTATCCTGCCTTCAGCTAATAACCGAATCTTCTATTTCTCCTATCAGTTTACCCCCACAGTTATTACCTTTTGTACCACTAGCCCCTCCCTCTTAGATTGTAAGCTCCAAGGAGCAGGGCCCTCCTAACCGTCTTGTATTGAACTGTATCGTTGCTGTATTGTCTCCCTTTATATTGTTAAGCGCTGAGCAAACTGTTGGTGCTATATAAATCCTGTATAACAAGAATAATGTCTCACACCACCAAGTGTCTTACCAGACATCAATGATCTTTAGATGAGCCTTTTTTAACACCCTGAGGTACCTTCAGATTCATTCAGGATGTGCCGTAGCAAAATGCCTAAACATTTACCAGAAATTGTATACAAGCTGGAGGGAGGATCAAACTTGCCTTTCAATTCCGCAAAGCCACAGGTTTTCTTTGTGAACCATTTCAACTTTCTGGCCACCAATGTCCTGACAACCAATGACATCACCAGTTGATTAGGAGGACATTGGGCATCTACACACCATCCTTATTTGCGCCTCCATTGCCCCACTCTGTCACCACTGGGGTCACATTACATGAGAGAGAGAAACCGAGGGAGAAAAGAAACACTGGAATACTAGTCAGTACCAGTGTGCAAAGGAAAATTTGCTTTGGAAGAATACATCACCTCTAATGTTGGGTGCCCTATGTGTGTGGATGTTGCCGCATTATGTAAAACTATTAATTTAGTTTTTACATTTTGGAATTGGGTGCCTCGAGATTGTGCAGAATTATAAAGGGTGCCTTGATCGAAAAAATGGTTGAGAGACACTGGTCTAGATTATAAGAGATCTGTTGTGCTGAAATCAATGGATGTCAATACAGCTCCCACAGCCTGCTCACCACTCACAAAAGTAATCACTGGTAACCTCAGAACATGAAGTTGAACAAAGGCAGATCACATCATTTTCATCAGCACCTAATTTGGTAGAAAAGTCCTTTCAAAATGAAATGCTTGAGGTCCTTAAGGTTTTTTTTTACCCATGTAAGAAGTGTAAGGTGTGTAAAAACGTACAGCCTGTTCATACCTCCTTTTCCATCCAGCGTCACCTCAAAAAAATATAAGATTTGTGATTTCATTACAGTACCAAGGTGGTGGTTTATCTCCTAAGTTGTACATGTGGCCTCCAATATGAGGAGGACCACAAGATCTTTGAATGTTCAAACTGGGGAGCATTTGGCCAAAAAAGGGTTTTCCATCACACACAGTCTGTCCAAACATTTTGCTTCACATCATAATAGAGATCCTTCCTCCTTGCAGGTAAAAGGCATAGAGAAATATTCTCCACATTGGAGTGGGAGTAATATGAAAAGACAGATCTTCCGTCCTGAAACACGATGGATTTTTGACCTTAAGACCCATCAACCATGGGGCCTGAATGTTGAATGGGATATTAATTCCTTTATTAATACCAATTAAGATATTGATTATATAATTAAAGAGCAGTTATTATAGGTTGCTTGCAGATTAGTAAATGATGATATATTTCCCTTTTTATGCCACATAATTTAAATGTTTTTATGTTCTTAAGAATTTTTTTATTAATTGTATATATGAGGGATTTTTTCATTGCTATGAAATTTATTTTAATTTTTTTGTTTTTAGACTATTTTCTTTCATTGCAATAGTTTTTACTGTTGGTTATATCTTATTATATTGCTTAAATATGCATATGATGTATTTGTGTATTTTTGAATTTTTATCATATTCATATGCAACCACAAGATGGTGCTATGTTTGTTTATCTGGTGTTCATTGTGATAGCACTGATGTATATATTTTTGGGATATTTTAACCACTTACCCTCCTGGGGATTTAACCCCCTTCCTGACCAGGCCATTTTTTTGCATTACTGCGCTGCGTTACTTTAACTGACAATTGCGTGGTCATGCAACACTGCACCCACATTAAATTTATGTCCTTTTTTTCCCACAAATAGAGCTTTCTTTCCGTGGTATTTGATTGCCTGTGCATTTTTTTTTTTTTGTGCTATAAAAAAAAAGACCAACAATTGAAAAAAAACCCCCATATTTTGGACTTTCATATTAAACATGCGCAGTAAAAAAAATCTAATTTTGTCATAAATTTACACCAAAATGTATTCTGTGACATGTCTTTGCTGAAAAAATCCCAATACGTGTAACTTAATTGGTTTATGTGAAAGTTATAGTGTTTACAAATGGCAGTATAGATACTGGGATTTGTTTTTCTACTAGTAATGGCAGCGGTCACCAACTTTTAGTGGGACTGCAAAACTGCGGCGGACATTCTGACACTGGAGGGAAGTGACACCAATACAGTGATCAGTGCTAAAAAAAAGCACTGACACTGTACTAATGGCACTGGGCAGGAAGGGGTTAATATGAGGGGCGATCAAAGGGTTAAATATGTGCAGGGAGTGTTTTACTAGGGGGGGGGGTGTATGTTTCACTGTAAGCACAGCACAGCCATCCAGGAGCAGTGTGCCTGAGCCGACAGGGAGGAAGACTGTTAGTAAACAAAACAGTCAGAGATGCTCGGTAATCACCGGGCGCCGGCGGGTAATTACTTGCCAGGACCCGGTGATTGACAGCTGCGAATGGCGGTGTGGGTAGGGCACGTACGCCCCCTATTCGGAAATGTAAAATCACGTATATATACGTGATCTTGCGCACCCCTGCCACCTGTAGCAGTATATCTGCTATATGGCGGCGGGGAAGCGGTTAAAATAGTTTGTTTTTGGTGGAGCATTTATATTCTCTTTCAGCCAGTCTGAGCTGTTTTTTGGGCTGATATTGAACTTTTGGCTTCATCTTGTGACTATATTTTTCTGAGAAGTCCTTCCGGGGTCTTTCCTTTTAAAATGACAGCTTCTCATGTTGCACAATTGATCTCCAATCCCAGAGGACACCATTTTTGGGGAAACATGTCGGGCAGAGTCTATGTGATGTCATCACGTACCAGCATGAGCACTGAGACCACGGCAAAACAATTTCATATTCTGTACACTGCCTGTTCTAGTCACCTGATTGGAAATGTAATATATTTTAATAAATAGTTGGTTTTTAAATTTACTGCACTATGAGGCTTTCCCTTGTTTAATCCTTCTATACCATTATGATGAGCAGTACTGGAAACTAAAGTGAAATCTCGGTGGGACCGCAAACCTTTTCGGTGAATATAGCCATTTCTCTGGTGATTTGTCAGAGTGCCAGTCTCGGGTTATGATGCATATGTTTACTTGATCTTTATAGCTTGAGATCATCTCATTTTTGAAAGAGGCTTGCTTGTTTTTTGAAGAGCACTTTCTGAGCACAGAAGCACTTTGTATGAAGTTTCACAGCACAGAGCACTTTTCTTCATGATTGATTTTAAGACTTATTTATTTATATATTGTACATAAATTATTTATGAATTGTTCATGCATTTATGTATTGATTTAAGTATTTAGCTTTTTTGTTTACATTGAAATTTTATATATATATCAATTGTGGACACATTTACATAGACACATAGTATTGGTTTGCTTGTATTTACTATATTTAAAGGGACAGTGCACTATGTATGAGACCACATCATTTACCTTTTTGATTTGGGATGTAAAGTGATGTGAGGCGAAAAAGACATCCCATAAAATGTCCTGTCAGTGGTTAGTTCATAATTTCTTTGAGTTCCCTTAAGATTCAAGTACCATAGGCAATCTTCCTGCCACCAAAGGGGTTATCAGCTGCTAATTTTGAAAAAAAAAATGAAGGGGTGCAGTTTTTTTTTTGGGGGGGGGGGGGAGGGGGGAAAGCTTTTATCTGGGGCTTCCTGAAAAATCCACCTGTCTAGGACTCTCCTCTGGTTGATAAAATACAGTTTTCTACAAACCCATTTAAACTCTTGGAACAGTTTTAATGAACTATATTTAAAAAATAACTTTTAAAGCAAGGAAAGGGTAAGTATTTAGCAATTGTCTCTTCACGGTCTGCACAATACTTAGGTATTGCTGTTTCAGCAAAGTTGAGTTTATATGTTTCCTTTCTCATAGTTTGAAGAGGAACTTTATTCCCCTATTTAAAGCGATTCTAAAGGTTCATCTTTTTTTTGGGGGGGGGGCAGTAACAAACATGTCTATACTTAACTGCTGTGTGCAGTGGCTTTTCACAGAGCAGCCTGGATCCTCCTCTTCTTATGTCCCCCACAGGCTCTCCTTGCCCCTCGCTCCTGTCGGATGCCTCCACAGCAAGCAGCATGCTGTGGGGGTACCCTCTGCTCAGTGTGTCCATTCACACACGGAGCCGCTGCTTGGCCTCCCCCCTCAATGGCTGACTGGCTGTGATTGACAGCAGTGGGAGCCAAGGGCTCCCTCTTGCTGTCTCAACCAATGAGGAGGCAGAGACCCGGGACAGCCGAGGCTGTTTACATCGCTGGATTGGGGGGGCTGCTGCACACAGAAGGTTTTTTTACCTTCATACATAGAATGCATGAAGGTGAAAAACCTTGAGCCTTTACAACCACTTTAAGATTTTATTTCTTCCTCTCTTAAGCTGGGTACACACTGGCCAAAAATTGGCCAGTTCAGCAGGATCCATCCTATTGTTGGTCAGTGTGTATAGCTATCTCCCCAACAGAGGGACATGCTGGCAAACCAGCATCTGATCAGCACTCGTAAGTAATAGCTGTGAGCACTGATCAGTGTATTTTGGCATAGATGGGGGGTGGAGTCCCTCTGTCAGGGAGAGACCACACATCACTTGTGTTGACGTAGAGACAGTGGCGTCCCTAGGCAGTCCCTAGGCAGGTGCGGGGGGTGCGCGCCGCACCGGGTGACACATATCGCACGGGGTGACACTGGACCCGCTCCACGAAAAGGTAAGTTTTAAAGCAAGCTGCTGATCCCCGCAAAATGGATCAGGTCTGCGGATTGAGCATAATGGATCGGAGTCCGATTCATTATGTTCCCCAATCCGCAGATCCAATCCATCTTGTGGGGATTGTTGGCTTGCTTTAAAACTTACCTTTTCATGGAGCTTGTGGAGAGATCAGTTAACCCCGTATAGGTTGCAAGCTGATGATCCCTGCATAATGGATTGGATCTGCGGACTGGGGAGCATAATGGGATGGACTCCGATCCATCCCATAATGGACTCCATTATGCTCAATCCGCAGATCCAATCCATCCTGCGGGGATCGTCGGAGGAGTGACACCAAGTGTTACCACACTGGGTGACACCAACCCTAGGGACGCCCCTGCGTAGAGATCTGTCCGTTTCTTTTTGTTCAATCTGCTGGTTGAATAAAAAAAACTGTCAGTGTGTACCCAGCTTTACCTTGACCACTGGGTTGTACTTAAAAAACGTACTCACATGCCCAAAATATTCAGCATTTTCTGGTGTAACCTGCCACTCCATCGCTGCATTCCAGGTCCAACACTGCCATCTTCTCCTCCCATGTCATCAGGTGGCCGGCTGTCTCTTCCATGTTCTTGCAACTGCCCTCCTAATGATGTGTCACATTCGCAGTGAGCCCGAGATTGCCTGGAAAGCCTAATGTGATGAGTGATGTGATGATCCAAGCAGGCTTTGGGAAGTGGGGAGGACGTCATTCTAGCCTAGACCATAATGCTGGAAGCACAGGGCCTGGTCCCTCAAAAAAAGGTATTTAGGAATTTTTTTTTCCAATGTCTAAGTGAGTAATGGGAAAGGGGGGTGGGGTGTATGTAGAGTTCTTAAAGTGCACGAGGGTCTGCTTTAATAGTGCTTATTTAATTAAACCTCATCAGTAGACAAAAAGCTATTCATATAACACTCAATGTATGTTGCCGCTACCTGTTATCAGAGGCAAACTGTCCACTGTCGCTGTAACATCTCGCATCTCATAGAGTATCTTATCTGCTGGGACAAGATTTTCAGACTGCCCAACAATACAACAGCCAACAGAGTGAAGGATTTCTAACATCTGCAAATATAATACAAAGATTTACTTATAGATATAATAAACTAAACTACCTTACAGTATTCAGTTTATTTTTTAGATGAAAAATCACACTTTTGTTTATTTTGATTTTAACATTGTATTAATTTATCTTATAAAGGCACTTGTTCAAAGATTTGTGGCACAGTGTAAAAAAAAAAAAAATATCAAGTAATGGCCTAGGCAATTTTGTCACCACAAAAGCAAATAATATTTTTTTTTATTGTTGTGTAGTAAAATACTAGGGTAGCACTAGTGGTGTGTTTGCAGGTGCTCTTGAATTGCAATAAATCTTTGACTGCTCCAAATAGAAAATAAAAATAATATAACAATATTCAATATGTCTCTTACACTGTATTTACATACCTGCTCAGGGCTGTGCCTGGAGCTAAACCCTGGAACTGATTCCAACTTATCCAGTGTGCCACCAGTATGTCCCAGTCCTCTTCCACTGATCATTGGAACCTTTCATAAAATGAAAACAAACATAGGAATACATTTTGAAAAATCAAAGATAATGGTGCTAACCCAAGGACAGAAAACCAAGGTTCCCAGAGTTCACTGTGTATGGTGTACCCCTATGTTGGAAGATCAAATGTTTCTTTGAAAGAATAGAGTTGGTAGTAAACCCAAAAGCATTTAATATATTGCAGCTTACTAATTCTTAGATGTGATGGCTGCATTACGTTCCTTTTTTAGGCTTTCTTCTATTTTTATCTGGTGATCTACCCAGTAAATCTGTTTTTCAAAAGAACAAGCTTTCTTGCAGATGTATTAAGTTACAGGAATGAGAAACACTGACTTAAGTGCTTACAATGATCAGTTTTATTTATGTAAAACCTTTATTGCAAAAGAAAAAAAAAACTGTTGCTGTAACTGCTTTATGCAGGAGTTGGACAAAATTATGGAAACACCATGTAAAGAACAATATCGTTACCTAATATGGTGTTGGACCGCCTTTGGCATCCAAGATGGCCTGAATTCTCAAAGGAATTGATAAATGGATGGTGGACAATAGAACCTGATACCACTTGTTAAAAATCACTCCAACTCTTGCAGAAATGCAAGAGGTGGAAATCGAGCCTGAACCTTGTTCTCTAGAATTGACCATAGTGGCTCTGTGATATTGAGGTCCAGCAACTGCAGCACCCAGGGAAGGTGAGAGACCTAATCTGCATGCTCATAAAACTACAATTTTACAACACTATTACAAAGAAAAATGGAGAAAGAGAGAGACATATAAACAATGGTCTCTGTGACGGTCGCGATGTCAGACCCCAGCCCTTCTCACCAAACTCGTGACCGAAGGACTAGCCAATCTAAAACTGCGCTGTCACGTGCGTAACAATGCCACGCTCCGCTGCACCCTGCACAAAGATTTTCCAGGTAATGGACCACAATCTGTGTACCTGCAGTCTGGGAGCAATTGTTACTGGGTCAGGTTAATTACGCAATTAACCCTTCACACTGCCACCACCTCCTTTTTGTACAGAGAAAGAGGAAACTCGGCAATATCAGCAATAACACTATGATGTTTGAATATTCGTTTGCATACACAATGTCACCGCAGACAGATGTATGCAGACGTTTAAAACACACAGTAGCGCGTTTCAGAGACAGGGGTTCTTAGTTTGCATTAAAGAGCTTTAGAAACAGTTCAACACTTTCAAAAAGTAGGATTTATTACTAAAAGGTCAAAAGGGTGCAATAAAAATATTTACAAAAAAAGATGTAGCCAATATATAATATATATATATATATATAAATATACAGAGAGCAATAACACAGCAAAGAGATAACAGAAAGAAATTTAGAGAGATAGAGTACTTGCCAAAAGTCCTGGATAAAGCAGCTTTCAGGTTTTCTGAGCAAAAGGGCCTTATCTCCCAAAGTTAGTTCCGATGTTAAAAGGGAGCTTCTTCAACTTCAACTCAACTCAGCTTTCTGCTTCAAGCATAACAGCTTTTCTAGGAACACAGCGGGGTGTCTCCTTGAAGCAGAGAACCAATCGCCTCATTTGGGGAGGGAGGTGTAGGCGGAGGACCCAGCTAGAACCAAAATCCCTCACCGCTTATATCATGACCCATAACTTACCCTCGGTGTGTTTAGCAGCCTTGCCACTAGTAGATTAATAGGCAGACGCATCTGCTGAATGTTTAGATATGAAATATGACATACCTGCTTGAGACTGGTAAGGAGATATAATATTCTGCTCTCCTGTAGATGTCAGCTAGGGGGTGTAATATATCAGGTGACTTGTATTTAAGTGACCAATCTGAATATATGGCTGGTTTTTATGTAAGTCTTTCATAATCCAAGATTTGAAATCATAGGGGAAAAAGGGGATTTTTAAATGTGATGTCTGGTTTACGGTTTATCTGGAATGTCTTTGAGCTCAGTGAAGGACTTGGTTTTATGGCTTTACGATATCCCAGATTGAGAAGCTAACAGACATCTGGGCACCAGCTAAGTCTGGATTTTATAGTCCTGGAGCTCTCCCACTGAGTCTGATTGCCTGTGATCTCTGCATCAAACAGACCACATGTCACTCAAGAGAGGGAGGGGGGAGGGGGGGATTTTGGAGAAGGAGTGAGAGATACAAGATGGAGGGTTTGGAGCAAAATGGATGACCGCGTCCATCTCTGTGTGCACGATTGCTACAGTCTCTACCCTTGATAATGGATTTTACTGGTGCCACACCCCTTAATGAAAAGACACTGAAAAATTGGACCCTAACCAAAAAGAAACAAATGGGACAAAAGACAGAATGGGCTTAATCCTATTATCTGGCAGGCCCATATCTTTTTTCCTTTTTTGCAACTGCTGACTATAGAGTCTTCTGGGATTCATATGGTCATGGCTCCTTGGTTGCTTCATGAAAAAAATCAGATGCCATTGTCTGGTAAATTTTAAATATTTTGGTGATGGATGTTTTTGGTTTTCGTATATATATGTTTCAGTTTGTTTATCATGGCTTTGTTTATAATTTTAGAACTGTGTGTTAAATCTCCCTGGAGGCTTTTGTCCTGGGAAATGCGTTGGAGAAAATTTCAAAGACATTACATACAAGCTGTACATATACCCATTGTACTGTGTATGGGAACCCTTTGGAGTATTTTGTAACAAGCCTGATGTTTTGTATAGTCACAATATGTAATGGCTACATGTTTTTCTATATTGAGGTATGTCTATGCTCAAATTTTCTATTTCAATTGCGCTTTTAAGGATGTCCAATAAAACTATACATTTTTTATAATTTGTGTATGGAGTTTTGTCAGTATGGTGCCTAATAAAGCCACAGTACTTTTTTTTGGTTAGGGTCCTATTTTTCACAATTTGGCAACACCAGCTGTGTGAATCTGTCAAGGTCCTACCTTTTCCCAGATGCTATGTTACTCCATGTGCTGGCATCCATCTTGGATTTCTGCTGAGCATGGTGGGAATCTTTTATGCCTTCAGGTCTCTGAGGTCCATCCCCCAGAGGGGTGTGGCTGATTACATATAAGCCTGTGGTCCGCACATGCCCTTTGCACTTGTGTCGCTATTACTCTGTTCTGACTCTCGTGGCTCTCCTGGTATCTGACTCAGCTTGTGACTCGACTACTCTGTGTGTTCTCCTTTGATCTGACCCTCCGTTGCTGAACCCGGCTTGTGACCTGTGATTCTCGTCTGCTGTCCTGTACCATTTTGTCCCGTTGTTGTCGACCCGGCCTGCCTGACTACTCTATTGTCTTTTCCACCAACTACACGCCATTGGCAGCGGCCATTACCGCAACTGAGGTGTCTCGGGGGCCGCGACCTGGTTCCTGGCTGCGTCAAGTCCATCCCCACCATCAGGGGCCCTGGTGAAGAGCAGCCTGGGACTTAGACTCCGCGCCCTGAGGGACTTCGGTCTGTGGGTGGTGGTTGTCGTCAGTCAGTGCGTTACTTTGCTATTAGGCCTGCCTGCCCATTCCCCAGCTCCTGCCCTGACAGAATCGGAGCATTACCAATGTCTGCACCATGGGGCCCACATGGTCAGCAGAAATTTGTACATAATTGTTGGCAGTGACTATCTTTCAAGGTGATGATGGGGCCTGCAGAATACCAAGATATGGCTGCACAAACCATGATTGCCACCATGCTTTACCGTTGGCACAAGACAGTACAGGTCATAAGCTTGGAATGGTGTTTGGGTGGGAACAGTGTGAAGCTCGATTCATCAGACCATATTAGTCTTCCATTGAACGATAGTCCAAGATTTATGGGTGTTGCACCATTCTCTCCTCTTCTGAGCATTAATATCAGTCACCAGTGGTTTGGTAATTGCAGCTCACCCATGAATGTTTTGCTTATAGAATCCCCTTCACACAGTGTTTGTGGACACGGGCTTTGGAAGCCTGAGATTGAGCTCTGCAGTCACTTTTGCAGCAGTTTTCTTATTCCGGGTCACAATCCTGCGCAATGTCCTTTTGTCTCTTTCAGTCAGCTGACCACGTTGACTACGTTTATGCTTATCAGACGTTTTCCCGGTAACTGTACATGCCGTCATAACCTTTGATAATGTACCTTGAGACACGGCAAATAAATTGCCAACTTCAGTCACAGAGGCACCAGCTAACCGGGCACCAACAATTTGCCCTCTTTGAAGCTCAATAAGCTCTGACATGACTCCGTACTACTAGTAGCCCACACAGTGAATGATGAAAGTAAGGCTTCCCACCTGTTAGCTAGGTGTCTCATCACACAGTAGAAGCAAAAGAATGTTCCATCACTTCCACTTTCAATGCGAAACATGTCATCACTTTCACATCTACAAATCATGCAGTGTTTTTCCATGTCTTCGTCCAACCTCCTGTAAGTATTAGCTGGAGTTTGTCTTCAATTTGTTAGTGTATTTAAATCTGCTAGTCTAACACTCCCCTCCCCCCAGATTGAGAATGCTGCTGTCCAAATGTGCTCCTTCATCCAGAGTGTGGGCACTCTAATACAGGGAGCTGTGTTACTGGTCAGATCACCAGGTGAAAACATGGAAAAAAGAAAAACTAATACAGCCACCACATCTAATAATTGGTAAGCTGCAATATTTAGTTTAGGGTTTAATACTTCTTTAACATGGGTTTGCCAATGTAGATATTTTGATTCCAAAATGTATCAATGTGTGTCTCTTTCATGTAACAGGTGACATTTGTGTCATTTAGGAGATCAGAAACTTTCCACTTTATTTAATCAAGAGTTCTCGTTTTAGAGAGTAGTAACCCATAGCAAACAATTAAAAGCCATTTTGTATCAGTCAGACTTCAGTACAGTGAATTCCAATCAAGCTTTGAGTTACTAAACCCAGGACCCTGCATTCACTATATCTGGTCTCCCACAGGACACAGATTATGGAAACGCAATTATTTTAGTAAATATAAACTGCTAGATACCTTTTCACATCAGCAGTTAGAGCAGTCTTGTGACTTCTATCAGTGTACAGCAGAGCACTGGTTAAAGCTTGTAGGAGTTTGCTTTTTGCTTTAGGAGGATGCAGAACCCCTGACTTCTGTCTGAACAGTGCTGATTGGCCCTGTGCTGATCGCATGCACTCTCCCAAGAGAAAAAAAAACCTCTTCAGCAATACACACCAAACTGAGCACATGCAGAGTGACTCCACACTATGTCTTTTCAGGAGATCAGAGGGGGACATTGGAAGAAGGGGAGGATCAGAGAAGATTGGATCAAACAACCTTTTTACACAAATGCAAAGGATTAACCCCTTAGGTTCCACAGTGAATATAACAAGCATGCTTTCCTTATTATTATTATTATTATTATGCAGTATTTATATAGCACCAACGGTTTGCTCAGCGCTGTACATTATAATGTGAGACAGTACACGAGACAGCACAGTAACAATACAATACACGAGGGGTTCGAGGGTCCTGCTCCTTGGAGCTCACAATCTAGGAGGGGGGGAGAGTGGTACAGGAGGAAATAGCTGTGGGGGATGGAGTGGTAGGAGGAGTGGAGGAGATCAGCAATTAGGTGAGGGCGGGGGAGGCTTCTCTGAAGAGATGGGTTTTCAGGGTGCGACTAAAGGTGAGGAGGGAAGGTGACAGTCTGATGGATTGGGGTAGTGAGTTTCAGAGGATGAGGGAAGCCCTGGAGAAGCCCTGGAGACGGGCATGGGAGGAGGAGACCAGGGAACTGGAGAGTAGGAGGTCTTGTGAGGACTGGAGAGTACGTTTTGGGTGGTAGATGGATATCAGGTCGGTGATATAGTTTGGGGCAGTGTTATGAACAGCTTTGTACATCAATGTTAATATTTTGAATTTTATGCGTTGGGCAATCGGAAATATGAAATATCTAAATAAAACATAATGATGAAAGATGAAATAATGAAAGAGGAAAGAGTAACCTTCAGCATCTGAAACGTTTTGCTGATAGAAGACTACATTCTAAGTCTTATATTTCTAAACTGATTGGAAATGTATGTTTCTATTTTTAATAGGCATTTTAGTCTTCACAAACATAAACAAACGCTGCTGCCTTATCAGTTTTTTACATCATTTCACAATGTACTTAAACAGCAGAATGTGTTAGCTTGAATAGGTCAAGTTCAAAACTAAACTTTAAACCATGTTTGCTTTTCCTTTGTTATGTAACACAGGTGCTATCAGCAGCTTTCTAGAAGCAGTCATTTCTGTATACCGTATGTATTGCCATCTGTATTTGTGGAAGCTGGGAAATGCCCTTTATTGCTCCTAGGCTCTTAAAGTGTTAATAAACCCAGGAACCTGAATTCACTATATCTGGTCTCCCACAGGACACACAACATGGAAGTGCAATTATTGTAGTAAATATAAACTGCTAAATACCTTTTCACATCAGCAGTATATAGCAATTTTGTGACCTATATCAGTGTCTAGCTGAGCACTGGTTAAAGCTTGTAGGAGGAGTTTTTATCCTGTTCTCATTGTCCTATGAGGCATATAACCCCTGACCCTCTGCCTGGCCAGTGCTGATTGGCCCTGTGCTGATCCCATGCACCCTCCCAAAGAAAAAAAAAAAACCTCTCTAGTCATACACACTAAACAGACCATGTGCAGAGTGACTCCTAGAGCTCTGTACTATCAGCAGATGGACTGACAGTAGAAGGGAAGGATCAGAGAAGTCAGGATCAAACAGCATTTTTACACAATGCAGAGGATTAACCCCTTAGGTTCCACAGTGAGTATAACAAGCATGCTTTACTGCATTTACAGACTGATTTTACTGTGGTGGGTTTGGTAATAATTTAATTAACATGATCACAATCTGAACAATGCTTTCCTCCTTTCATCAGATATAATTTATTCTGCACATATGCTGGATCTTTGTTATCTTTGGCAGCTCTGAATAATTTTAAATTTAAACTTAAGCCTGGTACACACGGGACAAATATTGGCAGGTTCAACATTCGGCCCATAGGTACAGCAGCCTGTCCGACAGAAGCCAGCTGAACATTCGGCTTGTGTAGAATGGGGCATGATGGAAAAATTTCTGCTAATCGGTATCTGATCAGTGCTCACAGCCAATGACTGGTGTGTTCTGGTGTTAAGCATAGCCATAGCATTTCATAATCACATACAGTATATGGTTTATTTGTGCTTTATAAATGATTAAATAACATATTGATGTAGTGATTAAGTATTAACAGTGGATATTATTATAATAATGCAGGGTGAATGTGTTTCTCTGTATGCCCATACCTTGCATCCACAGGCAGCGAGTGCTGGTGCCAGAGGCAGGCTTACTTTGTCTCCAACCCCTCCTGTTGAATGCTTGTCCACCAACAACCCACGCCATTCTTCTGGCCATGTCAGCACACATCCTGAAGCTACCATTTCCTTGGTCAGAGTCATGGTCTCTTCTGAGTTCATTCCACACAGTCGGATAGCCATAAGGAGTGCACCTAATGGTAAAAATATGTAATCTACTGTATAGTGCCTGTGATATTAATAATGTCATCTCACAGTTAGCTGTGTCTCCTTAAAAAAATTAAAATAATGGTAATGCACAGAGCGACCTCTTACCTCCTCTTCTGGAGTCCCCCACTGGTGCTCTCCACTCCTCTCCTGCGTGTGCTTTTATAGCAAGCCATGTGCTATCTATATTTCTGGAAGCTGGGAAATGCCCTTTATTGCTCCTAGGCTCTTAAAGTGTTACTAAACCCAGGAACCTGAATTCGCTATATCTGATCTCCCACAGGACACACAACATGAATTCGCTATATCTGGTCTCCCACAGGACACACACGTGTGGGTATGCTCCCAATCCAGGCTGTGTTCATCCATAGACACAGCATGGCTTGGCCACTCCTTCATTCCCTCCTCCCAGAATTTGACTGACTGCGGCAGGAGCCAATGGCTCTAACACCAAGAACTGAGTGATCATATGACCATTGATCATTCAGTTCTTGGTCTGCTTGGAGCAGAGAACAGTGACTGTCAGTCACTGCTCTCCGCTCTACCCCTTCAGTGCTCATTGGAGTGTCAACCCTGGAGGGGGGCGAAGGAGTTGGGTGAATCCCAGTGATATGGTCGGGATCCTTCCAGAGCCTGGAGCGACTCTGCCACATCAGCTCACAGTGGACTATAGCCCTCTGTTGGCTGATTTTGGGTTGCAGGAGAGCAAAAACAAGTGCAGTTCTGTGACCCACAAGAGAAGTATGGCCAAAAAAACCTTTTGTTTAAACAGGTGTAAAATATTTGTAGTTTATGTTCCTATATATGGACCAACATTACACAAATTAAAGTGATATTAAAGGCACTGTTTTTTTAAAAAAAAACGAAAAACCCAAATATGTCGTACTTACCTGCCTGTGCAGTGGTTTTTTACAGAGCAGCCTTGATCCTCCTTTTCTCGAGTCCCCTGTCAGTGCTCATTATCCCTCCCCCTGCTGAGTGTCCCCAGAGCAAGCCACTTGCTCTGGGGGTATTTGTGCATGCTTGCTCCCGAGCCCCTATAATCTGAGATTGCAAATAGCTCCCACTGCTATGTCTAAGACAACGAGGAAAGAGACCCAGGAGAGCCGGGGTACCTATTCACATCGCTGGATCGGGAACGGGTTCAAGTAAGTATTAGGGGGGCTGTGGGGGCAGCAGCACACATAAGATAATGTGTGAAGGTAAAAAAACCTTCAGCCTTCACAACCAATTTAAGTCTGGTGTATCACTCACACACACCCATGTTTGTTTATGAGATAGTCACTCTTTCAATCCTCCTTTACCTTTTTCTTCAGACACCTCTGCTAGACACCACAAGCAAATAGACATCTTTGTTTTTCTGTACCACAGTTAAAGGGCAAGTGCATTTTTAGTAATACCCCATTCGAGTTCCTATGGAGTTGAAAGATTTTTCCAAGTGCCTCTAGACCCCATTGAGGCCTATGGGTTATCTATGTTCAGGCATTGTGATTTCTGCCTGGAAAATGTAAACAGAGGATCAGGTCATGGTTGTAATGCTGTAGGTAGGTATCTGTGTGTGGAGTTTTTTTTTTTAGGTTATTTTAGGTTAGTGGGCTAGGGAGAATGATTTAGTGCACTTTTTACTAAAAGTCCACATGTGCTTTAAGTAATAAAGTTTGGTCACCAAATCAACCCACCACAGCCTAGGATTGCACAACAAGAGGCAGGTTACAAAGCAGTATTAAGGTGGCCATTGATTGCCAAAATTTTGATCCATCTCTGGCCAGTCCTGTTAGAAAGCAGCCAATAGGATGAAGTGCTGATCAGTGTATTCTGACAGCAGAGGAGCCCAGCTCACTCCTCCGCTGTCATAGTACAATGACACAGAGGGCAGTAGGATTCCTGCATCCACCTCAATGGTATGGATAGGGAATAGGTTCAGTATTTTGTTCAGCCCACCTCCCGAACGAAAACAAAACTGGGCCATATATAATAGCCATAAATGGCCAGTTTAACTATACCCACAATAAGGAAACTGCAAAATGTAAGCTAATTATTCCAATAGAAATATCTGATTAAAAAAATAAATAAATAAAAAAAACTACATTGTGTTAGAATGTTCCCCCCACTACTGTGTGTCTGCTTGTGTGCAGATACAGACAAATCAAAATTGTCATTCATTGGGGGTTGGTTGTGTGAGCTTGCAAAGTGCATGTCAGCATATACAGTATCTAGGGTGACAACACCGATTCTGCAAAGGGGACAAATTGTTCAGGGAGAACTATTACCCAAGCACAGGAAGTTGAAACATGGGCTGGAGCTGGTAGGATCAAATGGTAAAATAAGGTGAAATACAGGGACAACATAAAAAATGTGTACACTATAAAAGGTGTGGGATAAGTCATTATTTGAAGTGGTTGTAACCCTCTGAAATGAAAAATGAGCAAAGCATATCCATCTATAGCAGGGGTTGGCAAGCTGTTGATCACGAGAGCCGTCAGGTGGATCATGACCACGGTTCTGCCTACCCTCAGCCTCTGCCACTCTCATGTTAACTGCAGAGCGGACAGCAGGAGGCAGCATAGTGCTGGATAGAGGGGGGGTGGAAGCTGCCTCAGTGATTGGTTGCTAGGAGGTCCTAGCATCCAATCACCAACTTGTTATGTACTCTGGCAGCTACTGCTCCTGCCTTCCACCCAGCACTATGCTGTCTCCTGATCTCTGCCCTGCTGTACACAGGCTGTCAGATGGTACTACCTACACAGCACAGATACTGATGAGAAATGGACAGAGGGCACTGCTTTGGGGGATGGGGAGGCAGGGGACACTGCTCTCAGGGGTTAAAGGACACTTTGTCGGGGGCAGAGGCGGGGGGGGGGGGGGGATGTGAAGGGGGCAAAGGACACTTTTTGTTGGGGGGGGGGGATACAGGAAACTACTGAGGGGAATGGGGCAAAGGAACCTACAGTGGGGGGGGGGGGTGATGTGACAGGGGCAGAGGAAACTGCTTTGGGGGGTATAGGGCAATACTTTGGGGGAAGGGGTGCAGGGGACATTGCTATGGGGGGTAGGGAACACTACAGTGGGGAGGGGGGGGGTGATGTGATGTGAAGGGGGAAGAGGACACAGCATTGGGGGGTACAGGACACTGCTCTGGGGGTGATGTGAAGGGGTGCAGAGGACAGTACTGTAGGGGTGATGTGAAGGGAAGCAGAGGAGACTACTGTGGGTAGGGGATTTGAAGGGGGGGGCAGAGGACACTATTGTACGGGGAAGTAATGTGAATGGAGGAAAAGGATACCACTGTGGGGGGGGGGGGGGGATGTGAAGAGGGGCAGAGGACACTGCTGTGAAAACTGTTCTTCATGCTGTCTTTTTATTAGGGGCTTGATATTTTTTTCCCCTGGGGATCTTTGCTTTCCTCCATGTTGTCCAGGAAGATCTCAACTTATGATAAGTTGCCTAACCCTGATTTATAGTATGCACTTGCCTCTGTCCAACTAGTGTGGTTCCCATCTCTTCTTTCCTCCCTCTGCATGAGTCACTTTTTACGGATAACAGGCAATCCCAGAGATGGCCCTGCCCCACCCTCCAGCACACAGAAGTGATTGACAGCCTTAGCTGTGCATGTTTCCCTATGAGTGTGTAGAGGGAGGGGGGGTGTGTCCTTTCCCTCTACTCAGGTCTCAGATTACACTCAGCTCTCTGCTCCATGCTGTGCAGTATGTGACATCAGATCTACATGCCTTGCCTTCTGAAGCTCAGAAAGGCTGTATAAATGATATCCTTTGAATGGCTGTAGAGGAAAGGGCTGAAAATAAACAGGCACATCTTTTGTATGAGGATACTTTCATCTCTGTATCACCTAAGGTTAGTCACTTCAGGTATATGTAGGGCTTATAACCACTTTAATTCTCATTTTAAGGTTTTCATACAGTTGAATTATCTTGTTATGTATTCATTACAAAACAAGGTGTTCAGGCAAATACCTAGTGTTTAACTTTAAATGGCTAAACCTTTTGTTAGTACATTGGTTCCAGAGTATTTGTTGTACACTTCTAAATGTGTCAATATCTAGGATTAGCTCTAAAAGGTAGGGATTACCCATTGTTTAGTTTGATTACCCAGTTGACTGTCTTGAACTTGGCCTTTCATTGTCTCTTTCACCACATGCCTGATCTCCTGTGATGATAGCGGTAATCCATTACGCTTTTTAGCAATTATATCAGCAATTCGAAACTGGAAAGTATCTTGAAAAGACAACAGGAAAATAATAAACTAAGGACATATACAAGTATTACTAATACAAAAGTAACAATAAAGACATACATAGAGATGTAAGCAACCTTATTTATTAATGACAGTTCAAGAAACCACTGAAGCTTGGCTCTCACCTATGTGTTTATCTTTTTAGTATGATACCTCTAACTTTTCCTCAAAGTATAAGGGTCCTTTCACACGGGCGTTCCGCATGTCCGTTTTTCATCTGTCCGTTTACGGATGAAAAAAGGACACCCATGTATTTTTATGGACTAGCGGATGAAAAACCCTATTTTTCTTACGTTAAATAAACCCAAACCGGAACGGATGAAAAACGGACGCAAGTTAATGTAAACAGATGTAAACAGACATATACGAAACTGATGTAAAAACTGCAGAGAAAATGATGAGAAACTGATAAACAAACTGATGTAAACTGATGAAAAACTAATGTAAACATATTTGTTTTTTCTTTGAAAAACGTGACTGAACTGATGAAAAAAAAAATGAAACGCCCCTGTGAAAGGACCCTAATTCCACCTATAGGGAAAACAAATGCTTAAATGTAAAACCGCCATGCGAAAAAAAAATGTACTGTATTTTTTGACTCTCTTTATGCTGTTCCAAAACCAAATCTCCTGCTAGCTGACATGCCCAGATAAATGTTAGAAATTAATTTGTTTGAGAAAAATTTTCCATCCTGCTATTCCGAATATTCTTATCACTATGATCAA